TTTTTTTTTTTTTTTTTTTTTAAAGGATATATATATATATATTCCTTAAGGATTTAAAGATACACACACACACACACATACAAATTTCTTGTATTATTTATTATTATTATAGAAGTTTTATTTTACCTATCAGCTTCATCCAGAATTAATACTTCGATAGTATCTAATGAAAAAGTAGGTGTATTTCTTAAATGATCGATCAATCTTCCAGGTGTTGCTATCACAATATCTGGATTTTTTCTTAATACACTCTCCTGTAATTATATATTTCAGAAACAGTTAAGAAATAGGCTGATTTTATTTAACATGTTTATAGAAAACAAGTTACATACTTGTACTTTCACATCCAATCCACCAATAGATAAACCAACTTCTACTGATGTAAATTGAGATAGTTGTTTTGTCACTTGATAAACTTGCACTCCTAGTTCTCTGGTAGGTACAAGTACGAGAACTCTTGTGACAGCAGATCCATCCAGTGGTTTATATATTAATCTTTCCAATGTTGGAAGCATATAGGCAGCAGTCTTACCAGTTCCTGTTGCTGCACAACCACATATATCACGGCCCATTAAAGCCACTGGTATTGTAGCAGCTTGTATGGGAGTTGGACTCAAAAACTTCATTGTTGTTATTGCCTGTATCATAAATTTACATACTCAGTGTTATACCATTATTTAATACTTTATTATATATTTAATTTGTAACTTAATTACTAGATAGAGTATTATCCTATCATGATTATATTGCACACCTTTAACAAAGGCCTGGATAAATTCATCTGATAAAATGTAGCATCAATTTCAAAGTTTGTACATTCTTCAAAATCAATAGTTTTTTCATCCTTCTCTTTAGCAGAATTTTTTCTTTTTCCTTTCTTTTCCTTAGTTTTAAAAAAATCTGAAATTGAGTAGCCAAAATACAATATGTAAGTAAACATGTCTTTTATGTAAATAAAAATTACTTAAATGAAAATTATGAATTTTGTAAATAAATTTAAATAACATTTATCTAAAATCCAATATAAATATACCTTTTTTAAGATCATCCTCAGATAGCAAAATAGAATTATCATCCTGATCTGTTTCAGCTTCAACTTTAATAGGATCATTATCTATCCCAGTCTAATAAAGATTTAATAATAGATTGCTTTTAATAGTCTTATATTTGTTGCAAGAAGACTAAATATTTTATATAGTATTATGGATTTTTGCACAGAAATATAATCTATATGCAGGAGTAGTAATGTCACATACCTGTTTGTTGCTTTGCTTCCTGATTTTCTTTATTTTATCATCTAATTTCGTTGTTACTTTTCGTTTAATATATTTCTTTAGATCATTCCAAGTATCTTGATTATATTCAGCGACATTATTTATAAATTCAAAATTACTGTCAAAATCTTTACTCTCTTTCTTTTTTTGCTTTCGTGGTTGGAACTACAAAATAAAAATTTAGAAAAGAACATTATTTCGAGATAAACTAAATCTCAACAAGTATTATACGATATTATTATAATTTCTATAAAAAATGCATTCACATACTTTGAATTTGTTTTTTATTGTTGAACTAGTGTACATTTTTGGAACTTAAAAAGAGGCAGATATACAGATAAAATTTGGTGTAAGAAGGTGAGAGAGAAATAGTACAGCCAGTTTAGCAATAGAAAACAAATCCTTTGACTTACATCGTCTTCTTCGTCCGATTTTTCCGAATAATCCGTTACCTCTTGATCGTCCTCTATGGTCCTTATTAAATCACAATTATTCATCATTTTAATTTGCATAAACAAATTTTAAAAGAAAACAGATCTATGTAACACAAATGTAACAGAGGTTTTTTTAGGTTAAAGTTTACAACACGTGGTATAGTTGTTGTTGATAATGCTTGGTCGTGGAATCTATTCCATTGACTGCAATATAATATAATAACTTAAAATTTCAATTCACTATTCACGATTGTTCAAAACCGTTTGCCATAATACGTATATAAAAGAAAAATTTGCGAACAGTTTCAGTTTCAGTTTCAATGCTTGGCTGAGCACACTTTAGGGTACGTTCAGATTCCCTACCAAGGTGCACTCTAATACTAAAAGTGCTATAGTATATGTAACATATACTATAGTGTTTCTAGTAATAGAGTGCACCCGGGTAGGGAATCTGAACGCACCCTTAACTGTGAGTGACTCTACGCCATTACTCCGAACAGTGCTTCCTTCCTTCCTTCCTTTCTTCAATATTTGGCTAGAGGCGTATCAGTGGCTGCGTTCAGAAAACATAGCTGATCAGTGAGCGGTCAGTGATTATTGGTCCTTACTGTTAGATCTCTAACTTTAGACCAATTATATTGACGAATTGCTCAACTGTTATGCAACTATTGAGTTCGTTGAACGCACCCAGTGACTCATGCCCCAACGCCATTACCAGGGGGTACAGACTCCCCTCTTAGAAACCGGGGGACGGGTTTTTGTAGCGCCACCTTAGTACGTACCGGACCGGTGGAACTAAAATAGGTCACGTGATGCGGAGTGGGGATACGCACTATATTGAAATCCAGTACACACGCATATATATATATATTTTTTTTTTGAGCGTGTAATAAGTAATTTCGTATTTTTTTGGTAAAATAAAACAATACTTGTATGTTGTTATAATTTCGTGTATACGAGCAGTGTATAGCAGTGTAAGCAGTGTATACGAGAGATGGCAAATCATATTGAGTTGTTCAAAAAGTCATTGCATTTTATTCCGGTGATTTTCAAGAGCGTTTATTTTATACACAAAGAATTGACATGAATGATGAACGGAAAGACTTTTCGAACAACTCAATAGATCAATATACGCATACATTGTTTCGTGAAATTATAATGATATAAAAATGCAATTGTTCCAAATAAGAAATTACTTATTATTCAACTGAATATATATATTTTTTTTTC